GGGAGCTCGAGTTTGGAGAGGGAAGGCACTTGGGGAGCCTCCCAAAAGGAGTCATGGCAGGTCATGGGTCAGTTGGATGATGTTGTGGGTGGTGGCTTCAGATGTTCTTGTTTGTTGATGAGTTGAAATCACCAACCCGTGTTTGGATGTGGAGATCTATCAGCTGCACTCTCCAAATGCTTCCGCAGGTTCAGTACCTTGGGGTGCTTCCTGAGTTCGGTGCGTTTTGCCCAGAAAGCTGAAATCCAACAACACACAAGTCGCGCATCCCCAGAGGGTAGTTGGAGCCTCCTCCAAAGCGTTCTGCTCTTGTTGAGTGCAGCATTCGTAGGACGAAGCCATTGGACACCAAAACGCGCACAGACATCTCCAAGCACCCTACAGGGTGTGTTATGCACATGCTGCAGACAAACTAAACCCAACTACCATCCCAACCCGCAGCCGCCCACAGCCCTAGGCTGTTTTCGAGTCACTTGAGCTAATTACTGTATACGTCGTGCTATCACTCTTTTCAAAGGGCCGCCACACAAGTCACGACGCATCCCAAGGAGGAGTTCTCCTGAAAGTAAGAGCTTCATTCGTCTTAAGGTAGCTTCCATTTTGCGTCGTGTGCTTCCAACCCAGCATAGTAGTCTTACTTTGTCACAAGTGAGGTTTACTTGCTTTGGCCTAATCGTCCTCCTTGCCACCAAGGCCAACGTACAGCCGGGCGCAGTTTATCCAAGACTACCAGAAGAAGTTCTATGTCTTGGCCTCAGTCCATTTGGCAGGCCAAGTCTCTTACTTTGGCGGTGTTCAGTGAAACGGGCCGAACGCAATAGGAAGACAATGTAACAACTGAAGGCTTGTTACCAAAGAGTGTGTGTTTGTAATGGATGTGGAACGTGTATGTGAAACCATCGCCCCACTTCCTGGGAGGTTCTTCAAACAAATCTAGAACAAGCTGTGGTGACTAGCTTCAGCCACCACCGGCGAGTTCTCAGGATTTCATCGATCAGAGATCTCTACCACCCTTCAAGCTGTGTTCAGGACATTTCAGACTCAAAAGCGATCCAACTTCAGTTCAAGACCACCCGATTCTGGAAGGCCTTCTATTCCAAGCTGAACAATTCCAAGCATACCCAAACACGACCGGTTTGGGACTGCCATAGGACTGCTGATCCATTGTCCCCCGCTGGTGCCACCCCAATGTATATATAGGCATATATACCATACATGGAGCGTTTGGGCAAGCATTTATAGGAGTGTTTTTCATTGAACACCCTTCAAGCCTGAACCCTTCCTTTTGGTGGTTCTTGGATCCACCCTTTAAGCCGGATACCTCCTTTTGGAGGCGATGGTTTTGCTCGACACCCCGACAGGAGTCGAGGGTCCTGGCAACCTCCGATGTTGGATGGTTCGTTGATGGTCAAGCAGAAGGGAGGAAGGTTCAATTGGCGGAAGGGACTATCAACATGGCCGTTGAGCACCGTCAAGCACAGCAGGGCGGAAGCACAGCAATTGAACTGTGCTTTCCGCCCTGCTCGGCCCGGCCTGTTCGCAAGAATCACTGCTTCACCATCGAATTCTGAGGTGGTACTGGCAGCTGGAATTCCGCTGTTCAACAAGACTGGCCGTTTTCCAACAAAAGGTCTATATATGGTATATAGGGATGTATTACGGTGCCTTTTTCAAGGCACACATGGTGCCGAGCCGAGCACGCCTTCTTATAGCTCGAGCCAAGCTCGGCCTCCTTGGTAGACATGTCCCAGCCTCCGGAGACGCCCTCGGCGTCGGCGAGCGGCCAGGCCGGTTCGAACGCTACGAACCGTTCGTTCGACCATCAGGTCACGCCACGAACGCTACGAGCCGGTCGTGGGTGGGTTGAATGACCCGGTCATGTTCGACTATCCCAGAGGTAGCCCAGTAGGATCAGTAGGGTCCTATGGTCCCAGTCACCTCTTCCACCTCTTTGGGTAAATCAAGTTCTTTTTGTGTTTTTTCTCAATGTCCGAGGGCACGACGAGGGCGGTTGTTTCTCCGAACGAGCAGGGGATTCACTGAAATCATGTCCAATCTAAAGCCAGACCCTAGCCTCCGAACGAGCAGGGGATTCACTGAAATCATGTCCAATCTAAAGCCAGACCCTAGCCTTCCAAGACCATATGCTGACAGTGCCTGGCCTGGTTTTTGTAGTCCAGAGATGTCCAGAGTCCTTTGGAAAGCAATGATTGTTCGGGTAAGACTCAGTGGTGGTTGGAACCCCAAGGGCCAGACATCCCGTGTCCAAAACGACATGGAGACCTCCATGGCTTCCTTCCGTGGCCTCACCGAGCGCCGCCCAGGTCGCACCCAGTTGGGCGGCGGCCGAGACCTTCGCGGCAGCCGAGCTGCTGATGTTGCAGCTAGAAGGAGGTGGGTCTCACGGGAGCGACGGGTCCCGGCGACGCTTGGGGGTTTGGGAGATTCATCGTCCCCTTGTTTTCAACGGTTGGGGTGGGATAGCTGAGGTGTTTCTTCTGCTGGTCAGGCGATTGGTAGTTATTCTATGTTATTCTTTGGACATCGTCGGAGTCCAATTAATGGTGAATTGTTGATCAATAGCCACCCCCATTGTTTCTTCTTGGGAGATCCCGCTGCACTCTCCCCAGTTGAGCCTGTGTTGATATGTGTGTTCGTAGTTGGTTCGTTTCATTTTCACTTTGTACATCATGCGCTGTCTGACCATGCGCTGTTTGACCATGTGCCGTGGACCACCGTCCTAACAGGGGACTTCGGTCAGGACGGGCTGCGAGAGGGGTGGTGAAGTGGTTTTACATGGTTTTACAATCCTAAGGGTGCGCGTGTATATTATGTAATATATATAATCAAGATTCTATAATTATATACTGGAAGACAACTATGTCCTTTGGTCCTCAAGCAAGTGAAAACCGTGATCCTCTAGTGCTAGTGTTCCTTGGTGGGTTTCTGTTCCTAGTGCTTCCGCACAAGATGGCTGGCCCAAAATGACGGGTCAGGTGTCAAGTGTTTTGTTCCTGCTTGACAGTCGTGGCTTTGCAGTGTAGTGTTTTGGAAACAGAACCCAGTCATTGGTTGCAGGCACCTTCCCCAGCTCCTTTTTTGGGGGGCACGGAGATCGATCGTATTCGATCGTGTGCGTGGCCGGTGATGTTTTGTCGGGCACCCTGATCCCCACTCAAGCCAAGTCGGCATTGCGACTCTCAGGTGAGTCTGTGCATTTTTTCTGGAGTGATGTGACTTCCTGTCCAGGGCCTGAAAGCCACAGACATCCTGACGCTTTCATAGTCATATAGTCAAAGCATGTCAAAGCTTATAGCATTACTCCATGAGTTCAAGGACCAGAATTCGATCTCTTTGGACGCTGCAGTCTGGGCGCCGAAAAGAATGCGACCATGTTGGTCGGAGGGCGGCTGCGCCCCAAACCGCTCGCTGCCTGGGCGGCTCCCAAACCGCTCAGCAAGGCGGCTCCTTCTCCGGCGCCGCTTGGGGCGCCAAGAAGAAGCGCCTATCGGGTCACCTGCAGGTCACTTCTGGGACAAAAATGGGTGCAGAATCCACTTCACCCATAGGGGATCACAGCTGGATGGCATGGAAGTGGATCGGCATATAGGGTGCCTCCTCCCTGCCATTGACTCGTTATCCCCTAAACCTAGGTGGACTGTTCAGTTATCGTATGTTAAAGATCCACTGAAGTACTTCGAGGGAGCAGTGATTCAGAGTGATGCTGCGGTTTCCCTGAAAGTCCAAATGGCTCATATTTTTCTTCTGGATCATGACTACCAGGTGGGGTAAATTGAGTCATTGGAAGTGTGGGTATTTGGGGTCACTTCTTTTTGGCTCAATCAGAGCTCATTTGCGGCGAGCCGTTTCGGACCACGCGAGGAGATGCGCGCTTCTCTTTGCCCTTGCTAGGAATGGACTGCTCATGGAAGTGGGTCCTAGGACATCATGAGAGAAGCAGATGTCCATGAGTCCGCTACTAATATATGCCAATATATGATGCTATTCTGTGATGACGAGAAAATATGATGCCCACCTACGGTGGAAGTTTCAGAGATTTTGATGTTCAACCTTTATACTTGGGATGATTGAACCCACTGACCAATAGCTTGCAAGTGAGCTGAAGCCTCCAACCAGCCAGTGGTTGCAGGGTCTATCTTTGGCCGCAGCTCACTTGCTTCTCCCCTTTGAAACGCGCACGGCACCCCATCCGATTCTAAAGTGCTGAAGAGATCCATCAAATACACATTTCTTCATGGGGCTCTCAGCCAAGCCTGTGGCAGAAGGGCTGTAGGCTGTACACTCCGACCAGCACAAGCAGGTCTCATCCTGTTTGGAACTTATGAAAGGCGCATACTTTGCCGTCGTTTTTTTTGGAAGCCCATTTCATTGCTGTGGGCCACCCGCAACCCTCAATCAATCCCACCAGCAGAGTCGTCACCTCTGAGGTGAACACGGTACTGGGCCCAATGAGCGCCAGCGCCGTACCCACCTGTTCCGCGGTGCGCCCATCTCCCAGCGGCACCAGGGGATATATACTTTTTTCAGATCTTTTTTTTGACACTTGGCTTGGCCGGGCTCGGTCAACTGAGGCTTTTGTTTTTTGGGCGACCGCGAGCAAATGAATGGGCTCGCCAAGCTTCCAGTAGTTCCCAACTTCTGTATGTCGACATGGTGCACTCCCTTGAAGCGGAAGTGGTTGGCATAGCCCCCGGGAAGACAGTTTTCCTTTGCAAACAGGTAGGACAACTCCACTTCATTGATCTTGATTGGGAGTGTAGCAAGGTTTGACATATCAATTCTGAGGATGGTGTCCATGCATTGCTGTAGTGGAAACAGAGGACACGACTCGACGTGACACGACACGATAGTCAGGTCTTTGACACTTCTTTGTTGAAGCCTCGGTGTGTGGCCCGAGCCAGTCCCACACCGGCCGCGTTCCCTGTGGGAAAGCCAACACTTGTCAGGAGTCAGGAGCCTTTGAGGCAGAACTGCGCGCCATGGAACCAGATGAAGCGATGAAGGCGGTCATGGAGGCAGAGGATGATTTGGAAGAAGTGCTTGGTGATGAAGAAGATGCAGAAGCAGGTTGGGAGGGCGGTGAGGGCGAGGAGATGTGCCGCCCTCGAGATGAGGAAGATGAGGCTTTGCAGTTGGACCATTTGCTCGATGAAGGCAAGTTTCATGTGGGTGTGAGTTGGGTCCACCTGGCTGGCCTCAAGGGCAAGCGAGAGCAGTACAATGGCATGAAGTGCTTGATTACCTCCTTCGGCGTTCGAAATCCCGCCTTGGTGAAGGTGCGCGGTGTTGAGAAGAACGAGGACGGCAAGTACATTGCCCTATGGGTGACCTCGTTTTGCAAATCGGGGAATTGTTCATAATATGGCTATTTTCCCCAAGTGGGTGAATCCCCTAACCTCAGTAGAACTGTGATGCTTTCCCGAGAAGCAACATCGCCGCCTCCAAGTATATGTAATTTTTGCCTAGCTTGGGTTGGTATGTATCAAGGGGTCAATGTGGGATACGTTAGGTGTGTCCCAGTACTTGTAAGAGTCGATCAAAGATCACTCTAACATCCTTGAAAGGCCTTGAACCTAAGCATTCTCATCCACTGGGAATCCGTCAGCCGGTGCAGGTGAAGAGGATCCATTGCCGCAACACCGTGCACAAGGACACCGGCGCTTGGAAGGCCACCCCGAATCCCGAAAGTACCGGTGCCACCGGCGCCGCCCGCTGGGTGGCGTTGGGGCGTCCTGAGGTAGATGCGATGCAAGGGAAGTTGAAGTTCCAAAAGACACCGGAAGAGGAGGCTCAGAGAGACTGGGAGAGAAAATCTGTGAACTCTTCTGGGTGGGTTTGTTGGGCTTCTTTTGTTGCCTGCCAACCATGTCGGATTTCATTTGTTTTTGGAGGGGGAGCTAGGGTTTTGTAATATATGACTTCTAGACTAGATGGATTTAAAGGATTTAATCTAGCTCAGGTGCGCTCGGTTTTTCGCTCGGCTCACCGGCCCAAGATCTTTTCCCCATGGAGCAACCGTGAGCCGGGTCTTGGAGCAACCACGGGAATTCCCCAAGCCCATGACCAGCTGCTCCTTTGCTTGGTGCTGGTCTTTGAACGGTCCAGCAAGCGAAAAGAACAAGGGGTATCAAAAGACATCATAAAACCATGTGGGTGTGTATACAAATTGGGAGACTCCCCAAAGACCACCTGGAAGAAGGAAAATAGACCATAACTGATTGGCAGATCTCCGTATTGAAATACACACCCATATGCAACTTGACTTGAAGCCAATCACCCAGGAGAGGAGCTGTTCAAGCTCATTGACGTGAATCACAATGGAATGTTGAGCCTTGCAGAGATCGACAAGGCACTGCCTGATGTCATGGGTTGCGCGGTTTTGTTCATTACAAACTTGATTTGTTGGCAATTGTTCCTTTCTTGGATTGTTTTTTCCTTTGTTTCCATTCCCCTTTGAGGACTCTTCAGTCAATTTAATGACTTTATAGGGGTCATTTTGTGGGCTTCTGGGCCGCAGCCAATCGCCCAGGTTGCGTGGCCCTCTTCAACGCCAAGCCTGCCATCATCCGGGCCTTCTTGGCCGCCACGGAACGTCCTCCTCATCGCAACGATGAGGCCGCCTTCCGGGAACATGCTCGAGCCTATGTGAAGCCGGGGGAGCAATTTCGGAGATTGATCCAGTACCTCCATGAGTTCTTTGAGATGTACCTGATTTTTCAGGACATGGTCGATGCTGACGAAGACCGTCGTATTGACTGCAAGGAGTTTGCCAACTTCATTGCTTCCGGCAAAGCCGAGAAGGTTGGAATCAAGGTGACTCCTGAGATGATGGAAGACCGGTGTGGTAGCACGCTGATGCCTGGATATTCCTTATTCAATGAGATTGATGAAGACCAAGGTGGCTGCATTCTCTTCAAGGAGTTTTCGGACTATTGCATTCGCAAGGGTCTTCGGAACCCAGATCGAGATCCCATGGAGAGCGACACCGGTAAATTGAGAGACATGTTCCATTCAGCCAAAGACATGGATGACGCCATCTCCATCGGCCGCTTCGTGGAGATTTTGAAAAAGGTCGGCATTAAAGACGGTGAGATTGATGCAATGATCAAAGCAACAGACAAGAATCACAACTACAAGATCGATGTGGATGAGTTCATCGATTGGCTCATGGCAGACGGCCACCATGCCGCCTTGAAGCGTGCTGAGAGATCGGGCACTGAGAGCTCAGGGCGTGCCAATGATGGGCCACCGGCCTGCAAGAACGGCTGCGGCTTCAAGGCAGCGCCCGGAGTGACGCGTTCGGGGAAGCCCTTGGACACGTGTTGCCGTGGCTGCGCCACATCAGGGGAACACGACCAGAGGTGTCGTCAAGATCCTGCTTGAAGACCTGCCCTGGGCCTCAGCCCGGAGGGGTCGAGGTGGGCCAGTGGATGCCCTACAAGTCTGACCATCTGACCCGGTAGAACATGCTTCCGAAAGAAACTCCCATGGAGTTAGAGCGAAATTGATGTGTTTTGGTTATTATGTATCCCAGACGCTCCATGTATGCCTATATTACGTAAATGACCCCCAAAACCATTTCAATGTATGCATATATGGCAGTCCCATGGGCCCATGATCATACATGGAGTGTTTGGGTATGAATGCGGGCGACGTTGACTCTGTAGGGATGTATTTAGTACATGTCGTTCCTGGCCCACCTCCCACCTTTTTGTAACGCGGATGCGAAGTGAGCAAAATGACCCTTTGGAGGGTGTTGGACTGTATTTGTTGTGGTTTATATTGTTGTGGTTTATAATGTTTGTTGCTGTTCTTTTTGGGGTGAGCCACTTCTGATTCACATAGAGCATTCTTTGGCTATCTTTAGCTGCTCAAGAGGCAGGTGAAGCCGACATAGCACGCGAAAACGACATGCACGTATATATATATATATATTATATTATATATTATATATATAACTTCAACAAGGACATGTTTACCTATTAGTTTGACTCAATGATTCTTTGCTCAATTTTGTGAGGCCAGATCTTGGCAGTCTGTATTATGAATGTGTGCAATTCATTTGGCTCGCAGGTGCAAATCCTACCTTCTGAAACGTGGTTTTCTGCGGCCTTCTTTCCAGATCCCTGGAAGGCCCGAAAGCCGGGCTGCTCGCTTCGGATTTGGTCGGCCAAGTCTTGGGCTTGTCCGGTTGGTTCATGCCAGGACCATCCTGTTTGGGTGTCCTGGCTGGGCTACCCCACACGACCTACAGGCTTCCTGACTGGGCACCCCGACAGGATGCTCCAAGTGTTGGTTCTGTGGTGTTAGAGTCAGGTGTTCGGCCTCATCCAGGACCTACAACAGATGCACCAATATCCAGGTGCCTCAAACACCGCGATCCAAAGAAAAGACAGGTGCCAGCAGTCACGTTCGACGGGGTGCTTATATAATGGAGGTAGTCGGGGTGCTATCCGCTACTCCACTCACGGAAGGGCACCCCGTCTTACGTGACTCCTGGTGGTGAAACCTGCTTTGGCAGGACCGGGATGTCATCTTTCCAGCACCGTCTTGGAAGGCGCATGGAGTTTCGACGGGAGGGTGGATGCCGCGAGCAGATCAGAACAGTCATTTCAAGGGAAAATGACTCATGTTTTGATTGTTGCATGAGTTCTGTGAACAGTTGCGTGTTGGAGGTAAAAAAGAATCAGTTCAAGTATGTTCAAGTTGGCAATGCGAGTTTACGACTCTTTGGAAGCAGAGCAGCTTGACCCTGTCCTGGACCAGGCTTATTTTGTGGCTTGGGCTTGGCTGAACCGCCTTGCTACGTGCTTTTCTTGACCAGACAGGTTATATAGTAGCAGTAGATTGACTCGTTTGTTGTCCAACAGAGGTTGAAAGACCCTAAATCGAGTATCCCACAAGGTCCTATTTACGGTCACGTTCCACCTCTCTTGGATGTGTGTTGTGACTTTTTAAAGGTCACCTGACGATGCAGAAGTGTTGAGCTGATGAAGTTTTGACCGTGGATGATGCGTGCGAGCTGAAGTGATTCTTTCACCAAAGCTTTGGTCCCAGCAAGCTGGGCCACCGATTCTTCCCAACGAAGATATTTCAGAGAACAGGGGACGAACAATCTGTTGATAGACCCCTGCACATCCATGCATGCATAGCTCGACAAGAAGGACGTCTCTTGGACTTTAGCTGGCAGCTGGACACCCAAGCTCCTAACATTTGAGGATGTAGATGGAAATTGAGGAAGAGATCGCCGTACACATAAATTGTTTGTAATGCTGTTGTTAATGTGCAGGTTCATGTTAAAAATATATGTGTTTCGCCCTTAGCCCTTAGCGGTGCTCTTGCCACGCGGCCACATGCATTAAGCTCTTCAGGCTCCAGTTCAATACCTGGCAGGTCACATAGTCTGACCACCCCGCGGTCCAAGAGGGTGTTTCACAGATGAGGATTCTACAGGGGAACTCGCCTCATGCAATCATCACTGACCTCGGCCTTTTTTTGGGCCTTATGCCACTGAGTAAGCCATAGACTAGCTCAGTACTGTAACTTCTTCAATCATCCACTCAAACACTGCAATCGGAAAGCTTCCATTACTGCTCCGTGGCGTTGGTCTTCCCTTCTCGCGATGCTGGGAACATGTGGCGGCGTGGTGTTGCAGGCGGGGTGGTTCACGTTGCTGTGGAGCACTCGCAGTGGTCCCCAAAGCTGCCAACTGTTCGTTTCTGTTCTTTGACCTCCCAAGACCGAAGCACTTTCACCTCCGTTCGACCATCCGAAGTACGGAGGTACCTGGACCCGAACTGGGGAGTTTTGTTTTTGACATGTTTAACAGGAGCCAGATCGAGATTCTTTGGCTGCAGACCCTTTTGGATCCTCATGAGAGAAGCTAGAGTTGAGGGGCCTAGAGACAGGTCCACTGTGCCAGCGTTCCGCTCTATGTTTTGTGTTTCTAGATCAAGGAATAGCACTTCATGACCCAAAAACAGTTCAATGAAAGCCACTGTTTCTTGTGATATTTTTTAAACCGCGCCAAGCACTAATAGTATCACAACAATCCCAGCAAGAAAGGGCCGTCATTTTCTCAGATTGAGAGACTTCCCCTTATCAGAAACCTAGAAACGGTCGTTCAACTGCCGCACCCCTTCACCAAAAACATCCAAAAACAATCCCTGGCCATCCAAAATGGCGCCTGCAACCATGACCATGTCCTTTACGGTCCACGGTGTCGGTGTCAGTTTTTGACATCACTTTAATCCCGAGTACCTATTAATAAACACTCCCCAATTAAAAAAACACCACGTCCGAACCCCTAAATTCGGTTTATATTTGGTTTTAAATTGCCGCCCTTTCAAACCGCTACTAAACTACCAACATGGTCGATTTTGGTGGTAGTTTTTTTTATTAGGTTCCCCAAAACTCCACCATGACACGCCGCGCTTACACCAGCAGGCTTTCCTTCCCTCAATGGCACGGACTCACGCAAACGCACTTGCAGGTCATGCAACACCGCATGGCACAGCGACATCACCTTTCGAAAGCTTTAGCTGTTAGTCTACTGAAGAATCACTATTCTAATGAAGGTTTTTGTAGGGGAAAAGGAAGACCCTTCGATCTGGCGGTTTTTTGCATTTTTGATATGAGTTTAATAAAGGATTTTATATAAAATTTTCCTGGATTACTTTTTGGTTTTGAAACTGTTTCCAGGTGACCCTATTTTGGGCCCCCCCGATTTCAGGGACCCCCTATTAGAAAAAATGCGACCGAGGTTTTTTTAATAGGGGGGGGGGGGGCCGTGTTTATTATTAGGAGGACGGGATTAAACTCATGGATACCCTATGGTTTCGTTAGACCCTATGGATCCAGCACCGCGCCAGGCCTACAGGGCCGAACGGCCCGGGCCGCCTTCGGCGTGCGCCGCCACGGCGCCCGTGCGAGGCTCAGGCGGTCGAAGGCCATGTGTTTTCCCGCCCAGACGCATGAGTGGATTGGTGTCTAAATCTGTCTGGGCGGGGTTCATTTGCCGCAACCGCCAGAAGTATCCAACTGGGTAGTCGAACGATGTATCGGAAAAAGATGCGATGTGTTCCAGTTGTTTTGGTGCCTTCCCACGTGGGAGTCCTATAGAGTCCATATATATTCAATAGTCATAGTCCAAAAACTCATGGACTGAAGATGTTGGCTGCTCACACCGGACCCCTGAGGGGATGAATGTTCAACCTGAGGGGATGCTTATTGTTTGTTTTGAGTTGTAAGTGGAGATCTCCTCAATCAGTTGGGTGTGTCACAGTTGTTCTCCATTTTCAGTTTCAAAGCTGTGGTTATTGGAAGGTGTAATGAGGGTGCCCATTCACAACCCGCTCGGGGGTCATGTTTGGGGATCATGTCTGGTCATTTCTGACCATTCCGAGGATGACCGGTTCTTCCAAATGACCTGGGTCACTTCCGGTCAGTTTGAAGAAGAAGCGCGGTCTTTGGACACATCAGCCCTTAGAATCTCTGGCGCAAGCCTCCGTCGAATTGGGGAGAACATGGGAACATCGAAACCATGGGCGAGAGTTCACCACCCCAAAGGAACGATGGGTTTCATGATGTTTCATGTCGATGTTTCCCATATAATTGCATCCATAAACCAATTCTTAGGATCCATCCATTGGTCTTTTTGTGTCTGACCTGGTCCAACGCGAGGTCACTTCAGCCAAGGGTCCGAGATTTCGCACGCGACACGGCGACGTAAAGGAGACGCGGTGGGAGACGTGTGTGCTGCTTCGGTACACGAAGACCGGTGGTTTCACAGAGGTTTGCATGCATCATTCTGTCAGAAAAAACCTTAATTTTGCAGCACGAAAAAGAACAAAATACTATATATATATATATTCTACATAGTATAGCCATAAATGATATACTACACTATAACATACAACATATATACATATACTACATAATATAGCTATATATATACCTATTGTGGTCCAAATCCAGAACATTTCTTTGTCTCTTTTAGTGCTATGTGTGTATATATATATATAAGCAAGCTACCAAAGTGACTTCTATCGTGGACCACTGGACCACCAACCACCAAAAATATGTGTTTTCTCCCATCAAAACAAGGGGTCAAGCGGATTTGTAGGTATATAGGTCTATGATGTCTCCTTGTCCTAAAGTAGGGTCTCACCCTAGTGGATCTCAGTGCGAAGGAAGTTTGACCTCCAAGTGGAGCTGAACCTGGGTTCAGTCACAGAACCTGGTGGGGAACTGATTCTGGGTCGTGGTTTCAGAGTTGTTTTTTCATGTTCGACCTTTATTTGGAGGATTTTTTGGACCGACCACTGGCCACTGACTACTCAGAAGCCAATGCAATATGACATGAGACCACAAAGGCCACGGTGGTGGGTTGAAACCACCAGGATTGTTCTCCAACTCCCACCTCTCTCCCGCGACTCTGAGCACTCTGGCGGACCCAGGTGGCCGGAGCCCTGAATGAGGTGGCTCAGCGTGGCGAGGTGGTGACAGCCAAAAGGCTTTTCCAAGAGATTGTGGATCCTGGGATTGAAAAGCTAGCTGGTGCTCAGGAGGGAACTAGAGGGAGTTGCCTAACCCCTTGCTCCACTGGTAGTGGGCTGGTTCTCAAAGTGACCAAACCTACAAGAAGAACACGAACTGAAGCAGCTGGTGGACTGGATTCTCTTCCATGATTTGATTGAGTGAGAACGAATTCAACATTCGGAACTCAATACAATTGACTTGGTGGCTTCAAGCTTAGGAGAGGACAAGTGAGGAGGGCCCCCCTTTCCCGCCCCGCCTTACGTTTTGCTGGCAACACATGACATCTCGTATGAACTGCTAACACCTTTGCCTACCCAGTCAGTGGCGAGTGCAGAACCAGAGCGAGCGACGACCCAAGGCGAGCCACAAGCCCACGGGCAGCGTTTTGCCACTTGGAAGATTTGTTGACCCACCTTGGACTTCTCTCCTGCAACTTCAGAGAGGTGAAGGGACCTGAGGTGGAGGACCCTGGGCCATTGGCGGATCAGGTACTTTTGTTTATTTTCCCGCCTTTTTGGTGAATATGTTTTATTTTTCAAGGTTTGAAAGCAAATCCAAGGGATTCCACCACCTGGGGTACTCGTACCTATGAAATAGCCGAAGGTTCGGGTCCTTCCACCTTTGCCCGTGACCGTGCCACCTTTTGCCCGACCACATTTATTTGGTTTGTCCTTTTGCGACATAGCAGCATGCGGACCTACAGATCACGAGTGTTGTTTCCTCCCGTACTATCTTGCTCGAGGGCGTTCAAGATTGTTACTCTCGGAAATTATTGGAAAGTTCAGGTGGCTCGTGAATCCTGCAAAATCCAAAGATTGATTCCTACATGCGGCAATGTGTTTCTTTTTTTCTGCACATGAAATCCCAGGAGTCGGTGCGTTGCTTCTCCTTTGCTTTCCGGAACCTGAGGGTGTTTTCATTTTCGCAACTCAACTTAACCTGATAGAGACACCTCTTGGACTCTTGGAGGGTCCTAGTATATGACACTTGGGTGAGCGTTTTGGGTGAGGGTGAGCTTCGGGATGACAGACCATGTGTAGTGCTGCATAAGGCCGCTTTGTTTGCTCCTTCTTTTTTCAAGGATCAATTGGAGTGTCAGTGCAACATTGCAAGATGGAAAACAAGTTTGCTCCAAGTTGCAAGTCTTTGATTTTTCACCTTTGGCCCCTCAAATTCCTCATCTCCCCCAACAGAAACCCAGCCTTTGCAGCAGCTTTCCATTCGCTCGACTCGCGCCCCACTTCGCCATGCTGGGCGCCCTGCGGGCGATGCGTCCGATCGCCTGCCGACAGCTGCACCGATGGCCGGTGCAGCTGAGCACCCCGTGGAGCCCGACGATGTGACGTGGCGTACGGTGACATCTCTACGGCTCCGGTCGTACCGAAACTCAGCGGTTCGGTATCACTGGACCCGGAACTGGCACGAGAGCCTCCCCAGTCCCACCTTCGAAGAGAAGGTACGACTGGAGCCCTACAAGGGATGACTTCCTAGAAACTGCGTTCCCATGGGGGAATACACAAAAGGGACGCAGAGGGATGACATTGTCCACTCCCTGTAGGGATTGTACATCGTCTAAAGAAATTCTGCGGTTCATGGAGGATTTCCTGACATACTACCAACAAAAACGGTTGAAGAGTGGATGTTGGGGCAGTTGTACCAGCAGAGGTGGGTCAGAACCCGAGCTCCCCTGGTTTTCCGGGTCCTATGTTCAGGTGACGTTTTGGGGATGGGCCAGGCGATGCTGACGATCTCCCCCTCGTTTTCAGGAGATTGCTGAGTCACACATGGTGTTGGTCGCCACCTTGGTTCAAACCAAGAGAAAAAACCGCAGGCCCAAGCAACAAAACACCTTCCAAAAAACGTGTTTTTCAATCAAACAGCGGAGGGTTGTTACTGTTTTTCTCCCCCTGTTTGATCCAGAAACCGCAGGGCCTCGCTGGGCTGGGCTCGCTGTTGGGCTCGCTGTCCAGGTGGAACCCCCTCGACACCGCGAACCCGCTCTGGGTGGCCTTGGGCTCGGTGCGGCTGAAGCAGACCAAGCGACAGAGCCACCCAGCCGCACCTGCTGCGTGCTACGTTGAAAGCACGTGGGACCGACAAAACCCCGTCTTTGTTCCAAGAAGTTAAGGTGTTTTTTTCTGGGAATTGGTTTCTAAACCGGAACCGGCGGACAGTTCGTTTGTTGTTCCAATAAGTTCATCGTGTGTTTAATTTGAATTGTCAGAGAGACTAAGTGGTGGATTTTTTTGTGTTTGGTTGCCTATGGTAGTGAAATTTGTTTCTCAACCAGCACGGGCGGAAGGTGTGGTTAATATATATGTTAATATAATCCGGCCAGGGGCCCACGGGGCCCCGACCTGGCCGTGTCATTGCCGTAGGCATCTCTCCTCTCCGAAGGAGAGAGGGGAGTCTCGCCCCAGCCGCCGACCCCACAGGAATTGTGTGTTTTACAGTGTTTTCTGCTTCTTCCATTTTTCCGCTCTTGGGGCTCAAGATGGGTCACCATGGCCCAACATAGGCCTAAATAATGCTGGAAATGCGTGCCGCACCGGGGTGCTTCGTCTGCATCGTGGGCGGCTGCAGGGCTAACAACAACCACAACAACAACCACCATCCCCACCACCACCCCCACAACACCCACGTCCACATCCACAACCACCACCACCATCCACATCCACAACCACCACCACCACCACAACCACAAGAACGACAAGAACAGAACAACAACAACAACAACAACAACAACCACAACCACAACCACAACCACAACCACAACAATCACAACAACCACGACAACAACAACAACAACTACAACCACAACCACAACCACACTCCCCTTTGCTTGGGCCCCTGGCCGGCTGTCGGGCGTAAGCCCTTAAATCCGGGTTAACCTTGATCTTCCGGGGAAGCCGTTGGTTTTTGTTGGCTATATATATATATATATATAGCTTTATGATGCTCGTTTTGTGGCGCCCCGACTTCTTTGTGGGGAACAGGGCGCGTGTTGTTCTATGACGCTTAGTTGATCTCTGAAGTGGTAGGTGTTTGTTCCCCACGTGTGCAATCATTTTCCCCATGTTGAGCATGTTGCGGGACTACTATCATCCCCACAAGTCCAGCATGGAAGGCAACATTGACTTACCTGCAACAAACATGGAAGTGGACAACAGCCCCTGTTTGTAGAAGAACCTTGTTTTCCCAAAGGCCATGCTATCCACTTCCATGATTGTTGGATATTGTTGGAGGGAGGATCACATTGACTTCAACAGGAACATCAGCACCTCCCAGAACGTTTACAGATTCCGTTGCCACCATTGGCGAATCGCTTCCTTTAAAGAAACATTGTTCCACTTCCATATGCTATAATGCTCAGCATAGCATGCTAGCATTGGTCACATGATGTCACATGTCCCTCAGTGGAGCATGGGATTCCCACTCCAACTCCAGGTGGAAAGGTTTGATAAGTGTTGCAATCCAAAGAAAACACTAGTGCCTTAAAAAAGCCTACTGTATATAGTGCCTTGTTTTTCAGTGCTTTACATATCATGGAGTCCGCCTACTTCTCTTCTCGAGCTCAAAAAAGTTCGGCTTCGCCTGGGTTCGAGTTGGACTCCCAAGGCCAACTCCTATAGTTATAAGGCTCCTAAGACAACTCGAGTTCGCTTCGAGCTGGATGACCGAACTCCTAAGGCTACTGGAAACCTCCCAGAGCCAAACCCTGTGGCCAGCGGAGTCTTGGACACATGCTCCGGGCGCCAGGTAAAGGCTGCTGTCATGGCAGGTGATAGTGATAGTTCTTCGAGGAGGGGGGCCACATGTGGTTTGGGTTGAACGAAACACGTTGATGGATCTACTGATATATACTTATATTTGGGGTAGCGCTCTACCATCATATGGACATCGCTTCTGTGTGAGAATTGTTCAATGCACGTGTCAATGTGGCAGTTCAAAAACGTGCTACTGCCACACATACCTGCGTATCCGCCACACCCACTGACACACTCTTGACATACTCCCGCCACACCTTCTGACACACCCTTGACATACTCCCACCACACCTCCTGACACACTCCTGCCACATCCCGCCACACCTTCTGACACGCCCTTGACATACTCCCACCACACCTCCTGACACACTCCTGACACACTCCTGCCACACGCTTTGAGACTGGTTTGTGAGACGTTGGTGCATTTTGACAACTGAAGAACACTTTTGTGTTTGATACACGTTTGACAAACACCTGGTAGATTTACTTCCATAGCAGGCCACAATTCACAGGTGGTTTTGGATTCCGACGTGCTTGGCTCAACATTTTGACTCAACATGTTTTCAATAAGGCAATCATTGCCCAGGTACAAACCAAATGTTGGAAAGGATTACCGAGCTGATTGATTAAGGGCCAATTAAGGGTTATGTTATGTGGAGTCTAGGAGTTAAAACTGCTACTGTATATCGCAGTATATTCAAATGTTGAATATGGTTGATCCATAGTGCAACTGCGTATGGTTGCTCCGTAACAGGACCGCGTGGTGCACAAGTGCAAGTCTGTCTAAATCCCAGACGCCTCCATGGGACTGCCATAGGACTGCCGCCCAACCCAGTGGTTTGGGGGGCCCATGGTCCTCTCTCCAAGCGAAACAAGGAGGATTGCTTGGAGGACCGTGGCCATGTTCCGCTCAGGATGCCCAACAAGCCGCACATTGGGCCCAAGGCGGGCGTTGACCGAGGTGGCACGGAGGTGGCAGGTGTGGAGGACACATGCGCCCCCGAACCATCGGGTGGTGCATGGACACTCCGAATCCTTGTAGGAGGAGCTATTGCCATAGACACTATAGGCCTCTACGGGGAGTCAAGGAGTTAAGGGCCCTGTTTAATCTCAGCAAACCATGAACATCTGAAGTCTGGGAGCTCCACATCCCTTCTGGCACCAGTCTCGGACCATGTTTGCAGAGCGATTCGGGGGGATTCCCGGACCGGACTTTGAAAACGTTGTCCTCCCTTCTCAATGATGTGGTATTGCTTCCCTGGGCCGAATTCGGCACACCTGCAGTAACCCGGGTGCTTTTACCTTCGCATGTGTAAAGTACAAAGATGCGGGGGACCTCCGAATTATTCCCTAGGGATCCAAGTACCTTCTCAGGTACGGTGATTGGAGACTATTTATGTGGGCTTGGAGGGCCCAGTCGTACCTTCTGAGAAGGTATGTGGACAGCCATTGGAGACCCAACGACGGCAGCACCACCACTGAGGACCGCCAGCATCGAAAACAGAGGACAGCTGACAGCCGTCTACTTCTGTTTGTGCCGTTCCCAAGGTTCCACGTTAGGAACATGTGATCCCCAAACGCGACCTGTCTGGGACTGGCCTATCGACCGACCAGCTGGGG